ATTTGAGCATATTAGGTCCTGGTAAGAACAAAATTTAATGAATAAAAATATTAATCTTAATTGTTCATGTATTAATTTCCTTGCAATTTTACTAACCCCTTTTAAGAAACTTGTTACATGTAAGTATAAACAAAAGCAACCTTAAATTAATACCTATGGTGTATACATTTATTTTACTGAAAACAAATTCAAAGATGGACAAACAGAGCATGCACTGCGATCATCACATACACATATTTTCTAAATATATGGAAAACAGCATGTATATACTAGATAGGATGTTGTTAAACATTAAATTTTCTTCTATAATCTATAGACATAAAAATATACATTGGGTATAACAAGTCAGAAGTTCTTCTCCAAATCTCCTTTGATTTTGCCATGTCTGGTTCAACATCTTAGCTTGATCCATCCAACTTTCTTTAATATTCTTGAGCTGATATGGGATGACCTCTAGTCCTCTACTTTGATTGATGGCACAAATCTTTTAAGGAAACACTGAAGTACTTTTGTTTTTGGTTCTTACCTATTCCAATTAATGACCCATGATCTGAAATTATTTGTGTTCATTTTTACAATAACATTTAAGGAATTGCATTTTTGGAATTGCATAAGGAATTGCACTGAGTTTCATTCACTCAATGAAATGAATAAATTTCCAATATAATAAATGAAAAATCAATTTGAAATTATTGTAAAATTTACAGATTGAATTAGTGAAATGCAAATGCTTGATCAAGAAAATTAATGTTCTTGTCATGCACAATCTGTATCTTTTTTTAATTCATTTGAAAATGAGATATTAATTAAAATCAAACCTCATTTAAAAAGGTAACTTGAACAATTAAATACCTGTTTCAATAATGTTAAAAATATTAGGCCTAAAAAGCAAGGATTTTATTTTTCATAAATTCTTTGAATGAATGCATTTTTATTTTTTGGCAATGTTGGGATATTAGTAACATCCTGACATCCTTGTACCGTTTATTCATCGTTTTTAAATCCGTAGTCATTAGATCATTCATAACTTTCAGTAAAATGAAGAGTTAAATTTTAATAATTACCTGATGAAAATACTATCAACAATCAAATTGTCAACATCATCATTGGACATGGTCAAATGTACCGTGGCTTTTCTTCCCTGTTCGCACTGCATATAGCATAATACTTTACAGGATACTCTCAGGTCTTTTCTTTTTTCTTTCCCATTCTCACTTAAAATTTTAGTGTAGTGGTGAAGCGAGAAACACACAACAGCACAATGCGTCAATGACTTTCTTCTGAGGTGGCAGAGGATAGTTTTTTTTGCAATCAAAACGTTTGACTTGACGGTTTACTTAATATTGAGCTGCTTTTAAAATGTGCATTGAAAAATTTTAAATTCCCTCTACATGTAATAATAGTATGATGTAGTCCCTTGAGAAATTTGAAGCTTTTAGGAATAAAACATGTACAACTTACACAATGAGCCCTAAAGATGGCACAGGGATAATCTCAAAATTTCATGTGAATCAAGCCTATTTTCACTATTTCGCCGCAGCCGCATCTGCTTCCAGGCCCGTGCTGATGACCCAAGCTACCACACAAATTGCAGAATAACATTTGTACATACCAATGAACAGCAAGAGATTCTCTATCGTTTTCAAGCTACAATTCATCCTGTGAACCCACCCCGCTTTTCTGAAATACCAGTAGAGCAGTTTTTAGCATTTCGTAGTCCATATCCCCTATTGTTGACACTAAAGTGTCATATTTCAATATACAAGGCCACCAATTCCCTCCAAATGCACCCATAAAATACTCTAGCTATAAAATTACCTATAATATGCATTCAAACCTCAGGTTTCTCTATTTTTTCTATTTTTTGACCGGTACTTTATTCGAAACTTTGCCACCTTTAACTTTCAAAGTTTGTCTTGCAAGTAAAAAACATTGCTCAATTCAAAAAGAACATGCTATTCTGAGTAAAAATATACCAAATATGTCTTGATTCATTGAAAAATAAAAAAGTTATGGCCAAATAAGAGACCTCATCAATTTTCGGTCAACCACCTTAACCCCATATTGTTTCTTATACATGAAACAAATGCAATTGATGATCAATATACCATCAAAAAGTGTTAAATGGTAATTTTAATCTATTTCAAATACATTTATATGTAAAGAGTCAAATATAAAGAGCACATCTTGGTGAAATGTACTCACATGTATAATTTCATGTTCTATGAAATACCCTTTTTCACTTGGTTTTATATACCTATAACTTCTTTGCACTTTTTTATTTAACTCTTGCATCACATGCTATCCAGGAAATGGCAGTCAACACCCTAAGCCATTTCTTCAGTGTAATGAAAATGCACTGTTCTGTTTGTCCTGATTTACTGACAAGTTATGAGTAATCAAATACATACATTTCATTCTTTTAGCTGTCCATCCTGGGCAATTGTGAAATTTTCAATAATTACATGAAAATGCACATTTTTTGCTATTCTCTAAATATGCAATATAAACCATTAGGTTTATTTTGAAAAAATTTTTTTTTAAATATAAATAAATTTAAAAATTGAAAAGGGGGGGGGCATATTTCATGAAAATATCAATATCAGAATAGGTTAAATTTGGAAAATTTTTTTTTGTACTATATATGGTTAGTTTCTTTAGGTATGCTGACTGATTAGTAAAAATATTACAAATTTATCTTTTGCTACACTTAAATTTTAATTAGATTTAATTAATTTAAGCAAGTGCTTGAAATATCATTCAAACAATTAATTTATTCTCTGGCAAAAAATGTTCAATCTATATGATTTATTATGCTGATGGTTCAAAGTCTTTAAAAATGTATGCTGGAAAAGAGTAACTTCTTTTTACAGCTGTACAGATTTTAAATAACAATGTTTTTTTTAAATTGGCATACATAAGAAACCCTTTTGTATAAAAATCAGACTTCCCTGTGCATTCTTGGGGCACAAAACGTTTGACTGACGGTTTACTTAATATTGAGCTGCTTTTAAAATGTGCATTGAAAAATTTTAAATTCCCTCTACATGTAATAATAGTATGATGTAGTCCCTAGAAATTGGCTTTTACATGTACAACTTACACAATGAGCCCTAAAGATGGCACAGGCTATTTTTAGATTGAATCTCAAAATTTCATGTGAATCAAGCCTATTTTCAATGGCATTATGCTGATGACAAGCTACCACACAAATTGCAGAATAACATTTGTACATACCAATAACAGCAAGAGATATGGCCTCAACCACCTCGTTTTCACTTTCAAACCCACCCCGCTGGTGAAATACCAGTAGAGCGAGTTTTTAGCTTAGTTTCGTATTTCTAGTCCATATCCCCTATACAGTGTACACTAAAGTGTCAATTTCAATAAAATATACATTCCCTCCAATCCATAAAATATTCAGTATAAAATTACCTATAATATGCATTCAAACCTCAGGTTTCTCTATTTTTTCTATTTTTTGACCGGTACTTTATTCGAAACTATCCTCTGCCACCTGATCGGAATGGCCGTGCAACTTGCCACGTTCCGTATCGAAAATAAACAAGTCCTTCTTTATTGTTTTTACATCCACCACCTTTGCATTTGTCACGCTAATCTCATTTACAATATACAAATCGTTATTTTTACAGAAATTTATTAATTTATGTCCAAAATTATTGACAATTGTATCTTCAACAGATCTATCTAAAGGAATGTCATATTTTTCAAAAATAAAAGCCCTTGATAACATAGAGGCTTCAAATGCACCTTCTGAATGGTTAACATGTGTCAAAAAATTATCTGCAGTAAAATAATCCTTTAAATTCCCGACTCTAGCATTAAAATCTCCCATTAAACATACATATTTTTGGTCTTTTGAAACATTGATGAGTTCTTGTTCAATTTCTATATAACAATCTGTACAAGAATATTTACTAGATTCAGGCGGTATATACACAACTCAAATCTTCACACGTTTGAAAAAGTGACTTATTTAACTTAAACCATAGCACATATTTACAATCAGTATTTACAATCTTTACATACTTAATGATTTCATCACGTACTGCTAATATCAATCCACCCGATCTTACTTTTGAAAGCTTATTTCTGTTTTTCATAAAATTAATGTTGTATATCCTGGGATATCAATTTCGCCAGAATTATCGGTTTTTGTTTCAGTGAAAGCTATTATACAGTACTGTATCATAATATCTAATAAATTCTCTAAATTCGTTATAATTTAGCCGGTTTTTAATTCCACAGACATTTAAAGATAGAAAATTCAAAGTGTTTTGTATTCGATCAGGTGTCAGTACAGAGTCATTACATTTGGTGGATGTCCGCTCTCCTGCGCCCCCCTAGTCGTCAGTGCGGTCTGGAGTAGATCCAGTGCGCGGTCTCTTCTGGGTTGGCCGCTCGCCCCTAGGTGTTTTTGGTTGTTGTAAGACGGTACCCATTTTTGATGCCCATTATATCATTTTTGTTCATTGAAATCCACCTGCTCATGTTTGTATTAAACAGACATTGGTTGCTGTAAATTTAAGATATTTCAATTAATAATTCTTTGGGATTCTTAACAAGTTTTACAGCAGCTTTAATGAAGCGTTTAATTTCACTCTATTTTATTGATTCTTTACCATTCATTTTTAATGCAGTGTCTCAAATAGCCCTTGATTTCCAGCTTCCCACAATGAAACTATTTGATGAAAAGTGGTCACATAAACTGTTATCAATTCATTAAAGATTCAAAAATGAGAGAAAGTCAAGCTTAATGTCATATGATATATGCTGAATGTCATCGAGCTAATGACATTATTTATTGAATAGCCCTCGTATTTATTTTATGTAATCACTATATATACAAGTTTGCTACTGGCCCCTGTGCATAAGCGGATGTAAATTACAACAAATGTATATATGTGTTATGTATCCACAGCTTTTATTGTAGATATACATTAATGTTTTAATATCTATCCATTATTTGTGTTTATAACCTTGCCACTAAGTGTGATGTTTTGGTAGAGAATTACATACCTGGAAAACTGGAACAATATGGTCTAGGATATCAACAGCTTCAAAATGAGGCACCCCAGCTTATCTATTGCTCAATATCAGGTTATCCATTTTCTAATTTTAATTATCGAGCATGCTTAATAAAAAATTAAAGCTTTTAATGATAAATTAATATTTTTATAAGAAAAAAAGGTTGTTGAAGCACAACACAAAAACATTTTGTACATCTTGTTAATAAATAATTATGTTAGATTTGTTATAAATATTAGGTTACGGGCAAACTGGACCATACGCTAAAAGAGCAGGATATGACGTCATAGTTTCTGGCGTAGCAGGGTTGATGTACATCACTGGTCCCAAGGTTAATGCACTAATTTCATTTTCAAACACAAGTTTCTTGTATTACATTTACTATGATAATTATGAGGTTAATGCAGTCATAACTGCTGAAAGTTATTATAATAATGGTCTTCAGAAATTCTTTTTCACCTAAAGCACCGACTTCCAAATGTTTGCGCTTGCTTAGACTTGTTGTTTTCTTACTGAGTTGATCCTATAGGGCGGAGAACCATGTAAGGTGGGCGTGGCTATGACAGATTTATCCACTGGACTGTACGCTCATGGTGCCATCATGGCTGCCATCTTACAGCGACAGAAAACGGGTCAAGGTCAACACATTGACTGCGATTTATTTTCTACTCAGGTTTGTGCTTTGAATTTAGTTTTTAAGAAACCAAAAAAAAACTTTGATCGATAAAAAAGAAAATTACAAACAATAAAATTATATAGCGCATGAGACACGCGCGGACCCTGGAAATTCCAGATGTGGTATCAGGTGCCTAGGAGGAGCAGGCATCCCTTGCTGACCAGTCAAATCCACCGGCAGCCTATGTATCGATTAAGTAGCCCGAATGATACGTTAATACGTTAGTCAAAATTATCATAAAATTAAAGGCCTTACAAAAAATTGCATGAAATAGGTCAGCTAAGCACGACCCAATGATAGGCATTGCTAACAAGATCAATGTAACGATCAAAGAGTGTACGAAAATCAAATGCTGATTTTAAAGGAGCTAGTTTTTTTTATAAATCTTTATGACATATACGTCGCCCGCACACCGCACTGGTTAAAGCGTTTGTTCTATGATTCTTAGGAGTTGATCCTTAAGTCGCAGTTTCGAATCCAACTGTGGGACGCGGAAACCATGCAGTCCTTCGGATGAGACCGAAAACCAAATCCAAAGTCCAGCTGTTCGCAATAGGGGCTGGTACGAGAAAGAGTCCCTAAATGCTCTTTTAATATTTGCCGCGCTAAGATTTACAATTTTCAGCAGCAAATGGTGACTTCATCAG